AGAGAGAGAGAGGGGAGAAAGGTACCTCCTCATTAGGATTTGGGAATTCAATCTTCCGGTCAATGCGGCCAGGCCGAAGAAGCGCTTGGTCAAGAATGTCAATTCGATTCGTGGCCATCAAAACCTGGACATAAAGTTTTATCACCCCAGGTTTAGAGTTTAAAAGTACTGATAATTGATAAAGCCCCAAGTTTGATTATTAAAATTTTCAAAATCACTGAAATGTCAAACCACGTGAAAAAACATTAAGATGGTAAAATCAACCAATTTGGGATAAGATTGGTAACATTATAAGATTCATTTCACTCAATTACATCCTTAGAAAATGTTTAAAAATGCCTAAGTTGGACTATTCTGTGTTCCTAACACTGAATAAGCAGGGTATTTCGGCAATTGGCCCCACTATGTGGATCGACATAAAGACCCCCTATTTGTTCAAGGTTAGGAACCCAGACTCACTTATTTTCACTAGAAATCCTTGTTCCCGTGTTGCCAAGACTGAACATAGAGAGGTGACATCATCATTTTGCTCGAATTAAGAGGCCCGATCAAATGAGAATTCTTCTGCCGCTAGTGCGGCATTTAGGGACCATGAACTCACTTTTTTTGGAATCCGTGTCCGAGTTCCTCAATCTAAACAAACAAGGGTACTGGCTCAAGCCCCTTAAGTGGGCCTAAATTACCAAAATCCCCAATGTTCGGGATTAGGAACCCAGAACATGAGTAGTTTTGGTATTTTAAAACAAAACCTTTATGGAGGTACCTGACTGATATGAATCTTATAAAATGAACACTAATGCTAAACTGGTTGACTTTACCACCTTAGTGATTTTTCATGTTGTATACTAATATTTTCCCTTGTGTACCTTGATTTTGTTAGATGCTTCAAATCCATCGAGTTGATTCAAGAGTTCAAGCATGGTTCTTTGGACTTCACTATCCCCATTGCCTGTCCCAGATTCCATGCGAGCAGATCCTATACTGTCGATCTCATCCATGAAAATGATTGAAGGCGCATGTTCTCTGTGAAACAAGGAAAGCCAACCAATACAGAGATTTAAAAAATGAAGTTAAAGAAAGGCTTGGAAAAGTAAAGAAGGGCCTAATGGTGGTTGTGAATTGTTGTCACTAGTGCTACAAATGAACCCTAGTTATCAAACGATTTAAAAAAAGAAGTAATAATAGCCATAAGATACTAAGCTACGTGGCTTCAACTTGTAAATACGATTGCCATAAACATAAAGGGAAGCACGCCTTCAAGGAATTTGTGAGGAGCATTCTTTTCATGCCTCAAGATCCCATCATATATTGCTCAGTAAGTACCAATGTAACCAACTATCATTGAAAATCTAAGCTCATGACCTCAAGCAAAGCTACATTCAATTTTGGGTCTCCTTATGTTTATCATCTAACCCCCTCATAAATTTCCATACATGATACTACAAGTTCACAAAGAGATATATTCTAAAACATGTGAAGTGCAGGGAAGCTTGTTTGCTCAAAGGACATGGACAGGATAATTTAATATATTTGTAATTTTCAAGTGTTGTAATGCAAACCACAAGAGATAAATTGCCAGGCAGCAGCACAATTTGGGTAAGGAAGGTCCTGATGAATTGAGAAGCTAACAATTGTGCAGTTATGAATCAACTAAAATAGAGATGGGGAAGACCAAAACAGCACCATAAACCATAGTCAGTTAGGGTCCGAGTTTCAATTTCCAATGAAACTGATATCTTGGGACATCAGAGGCATTGGCAAGCCCAGAAAAAAGATTTACTGCAGTTAGAGATGCATTAAAAATAAGGTTGATATAACTGTTGACCAGGAAATCAATATGGATAAGGTAGAGAACACTATTATTGTCTACTAGTAAGTCTACAAGCAATGGGAAAGGGATTGTTTGATATCACTTCCCCCACAAGTGGCAGATTAAGGATTAGGCTAACAAAACCCTAGTCAAGGACACAGATCTGGTCACGAAGGGTTCTCCATTTAAAATTAGGGTTTTTGAGGACGGTTTCACTTAGGCCCTTGTAGGCAATGGCCTAACAACCTGAGGAGGCAGTCATTCTCGGTTGAACTTTGTGTAATGGGGAAGATTTCAAATTTTCAACATCATAAAATTGTCCTATAAAGGAAGTTAGAGAATCATAATGAAGTTTATGAAATTCTCAAACTCTGTAATCCAGCATGCTATTGTGTATCATCCCAGAAGAAGTAAGAACTTCCCACCATGTCAGACTCTAATCAATTACATCTCATTCCGTCATATTCTTGCAAATATGGCAAAGAACTTAAAACAATACACCGTTTTCTTCGCAAGGATATAGTGATATTCATAAACTGCATACGGTTAGGTGGGGAACATGTTACAAACCAAAGACAGGTAGTATCGGGGAGCAACAGAGCTAGGCCCTTGTGGACATTTTGAATAGGAGATTCAAGTTTGGATTCGGAATTTATGGAGGATGATCATTGCAGGGAAATATGGGTGAAGTAATTGAAGTAAAAGGGACATTGCAGTTGGGTAATGCTTAGGTGGCTCCTATGGAAAGGCATTTGTGCTAACAGGCCCAGCCTTTTGGAACCAAGGAGTTTTAGAGATGGGTTGGCCATTGTGCTTCTTGTCTTATATTTGATGCCGGATGTCACTTTGCAAAAATGATTTTGTAAATCCAAAGCTTGGCTAACTAGCAAGGGAAAAAGGTATGTTACCTATGGGTTACTTTGAGAGAAACCTGACAAGGTGGTGTGACCCCCTTGATTTTCTCAAAATTAGGAATGTGGAGGTAGGGAAGTTTATGTTTCAGTGAGCTTCCTGGAGGAGGTAGTTATTTGGTATTCCTTCTCATAGGTCTCAAGGATGGATATCATGGCCTGCAGTTGGTAGTTCAGATATATGTTCTCTATTAAATTTTTCTCTGCTAGGTTGCAACACTTGCGCATACCACAATACAAGACTTCCTTTGCATGGGATACACGGGTTCTGCTTAAGGTTCCTTGCTTCAAGTGGGTGGCACCGTTAGAAAAGACTCTTAACAGCAGATGACCTTCATCATATAGAGAGGTCCAATTCCTGATATCCACATCATGTATGAAGGATCTGGACTTTTTCCTACTTCTATTCAGCGTGTTATAGGTGATGATGTTGTAGTGGTTAGTTTGCCCAACTACTAGGCTTGGCATCGGTTCCACCAAAAGGGCCTCGCCGTAATAGCTTTGTCCATTAGCAATAATATTTGGTCGGAAATCAGAACATACAAGATAACTCTTTTCGATTTATGTTCATATGGCTAACAGTCTGTAAACCAAAGACAGGTGGTATTGGGGAGAAACAGAACTAGACCCCTGTAGGTAAATTGCATAGAAGAAACAATTTTGGATTCGCAGGTTTATGAAGGATGCTCATTTTAGGGAAATATGGGCAAAATTTTAGAAACTGGGGCATTGCAGCTGGGTAATGCTTAGGAGGCTCCTATGGAGAGGCATTTCTGCTATCGGGCCCAGCCTTTAGGAACCAAATGAGTTTTAGAGACAGGTTGGCAACTGTGCTTCTTTCTGGTCTTATATTTGATGCCAGATGTCACTTTGCAACAATGACTCCCAAGCTTGCCTAATCAGCAAGGGATAAAGGTATACTTAGAGAGAAACCGGACAAGGCGGTATGGCCCCCTTGATTTTCTCAAAACTAACAGGATGTGGAGGTAGGGAAGTTCTATGCTTCCTGGAGGAGGTAGTTATTTGGGATTCCTTCCTATAAGCCCCAAAAAACGGATATCATAGCCCGCAGTTGGAAGTTCAGATACATGTTCTCAATTAAATTCTTCTCTGCTAGGTTGCAACACTTGCACATACTGCAATACAAGACTTCCCTTGATGGGATAAACCAGTTCTGCTGAAGGTTCCTTGTTTCAAGTGGGGGGCACCGTTAGAAAAGACTCTAACAGGAGATAACTTCAGCATAATTTCTGAATATCCATGTCATGTATGAACTGTCTGGACTTTTTCCTATTGCTATTCTGCATGTTGTAGTTGATGCTGTCATAGTGGTCAGTTTGCCCAACTACTAGGCTTCACCTTCGCCCTACCAAAAGGGCCCCATCCTGTAAAAGCTTTGTCCATTAGAATAATATCTGGTCAAAATCAGAACATTCAAGATAGCTCTTTTAGCTTTATGTTCATATGGCCAACGATTTGTAAACCAAAGACAGGTGGTAATTGGGAAAAGCAGAACTAGGCCTCTTGTATGCAATTTGCATAGGAGATTCAATTTTAGATTTGGAGGTTAATGGAGGATCGTCATTGCAGGGAAATATGGTCTTAATTGGAATACATAGGGCATTGCAGCTGGCTAATGCTTAGGAGGCTCCTACGGAGAGGCATTTGTGGTAACAGGTCCAACCTTTTGGAACCAAATGAGTTTTAAGAGACAGAGTTGACAATTGTATTTCTTTCTGATCTTATATTTGATGCCAGATGTCACTTTGGAAGAAGTTTTCCCAAGCTTGTCTAAGCAACAAGGGATAAAGATATACTACCTACAGATTACTTTGAGAGAAACCCAACAAGGTGGTATGAGCCCCTTGATTTTCTCAAAACGAACGGGATGTGGAGGTACAGAAGTTCTATGTTTCAATGAGCTTCATGGAGGAGATAGTTATTTGGTATTCCTTCGTATAAGTTCCAAGAATGGATGTCATGGCCTGCAGTTGGAAGTTCAGATACATGTTCTCTATTAAATTCTTTGATTGCTAGGTTGCAACACTGCACATATTGCAATACAAGACTTCTCTTGTACGGGATACGCCACATCTGCTGAAGGTTCCTTGCTTCAAATGGGTGGCACCGTTAGAACAGACTAAAACAGGAGACAACCTTCAGCATAAAGGGCTGTCCAATTCCTGAATATTGATGTCATGAATAAACCATCTGGACCTTTTCCTACTTCTATTCTGCGTGTTGTAGGTGATGCAATCATAGTGCAACTGCTAGGCTTGGCATCTGTTCCACCAAAAGGGCATCACCCCCTAAAAGCTTTGTCTATTAGCAATAATATTTAGTCTGAAATCAGAACACTCAAGATAACTCCTTTAGATTTTTGTTCATACTGCCTTTGTGATAAGATTAGAGAGTAGAGACTAAGTAATTACTTGAGATCTACAATTAAAAGAAGAGCTAATTAATTGAGATCTAGTTCATAAAAATGCAGGGATATGCAACTTTGAACTTGGTTCATGGTTAGTGATATCCAATGTTCATGGATGAGAGTCAAGTATCCCAATGTTCATGAATGAGAGTCAAGTATCCCGGAAGGATTCATTGAGATTCATCTAGATGGTATTTCCCTTGGTATTCCAAAGCTCCCTGAGGGGTGTGGTTAAGTCAAGGATTCATCAGGGCTTGTGTGATCAGTTTCTGCTAGCCCCTTGGGAATTGGAGATGCCATAGCCATAGTTGTTAATGCTATAAGCCTATGACTCTCCTCACCGAGCCATAGCCATAGTTCTTGATCCTACGAGTCTATGACTCTCCTCACAGAGCTCTGTGACTACGTCTTCTCCCAAATTCACTGTCCATTAAGTACATGAAACAGAGACTAAATACGATTACATGGGCCTGTAAAGAGTTGTTGTCCCCATAGAATCTAGGGAATGCGGATCTTCAGTAAGGTTTAGGGCATCTGATACCATTGCCTAGAAGATGTCTTGGTACAAAATTTGTGCAGAACAAGCTTCAGTATTTCCTTTTCATTTTGTAAAACTTTAGTACGCGCCCTAGTTTGTCTCCACTTTTACAGTAGGACACGTTTCATAGTTTCATTGATTTGTTTGTTTCCCACCTATTTAGCACACCTTTTTGTTTCTACACCTTTTATGCAACTTGATACATACTCTTTTTTTGAGAGTGTACTGATGTATACAACAGTATTCAAAAATGCGGATGCGACCACCTACAGCATGTCCAGTCTGTAAGTGTTTCAAGTAACTAAAGGTAATACTCCATAATTCCATGAACACATAGGAAAACATCCATGCATTACATAATCCCTAAGCCTGCTTACCAATAATCTGCTTGTGTCCCCTTCCTCACATGGCTTGTAGGGGATATCATATACTGTGTCAAGATATTTGGACCTGACGCATTTGCATTATAGTTGTCAATTTGGGCTCGGATTCTCGTAAATGGCTGCTGTCCAAGAGATTGATTTTATTAAGATTGGACAAGAATTTATGTGAAAGTACATCATTCTTTTCAATGAGGTATTTGGCGTGACAAACCCATAACTTAAAGTTAATGAATTAATGACAAATTGGCATATCAATGAATAACCTAAAGTTCATACGTAGCTGAAAAAATAACCTAAAGTTCGTGATTTAAACCATCAAATCGAGGAAAACTAATGATAACAATCCCATAAATTGATCCACAAGAATTGTATACACATGAAATATAATAAGAGGAACTAGTAAGACAGATGAGAACCTCGTAGTGGAAGATAAGAAGGCATACCTAGCCATAACAAAAAGTTCTCGAACCATTCTAGAACCTTCTCCAATGTACTTCTGTACCAGCTCAGAACCAGAAACCCTGATAAATGTGCAATCTGTATGGTGAGCAACAGCCCTAGCTAACAGCGTCTTTCCAGTTCCAGGAGGTCCATAAAGTAAGACTCCCTAAAAATTGGCCAGAGAAGAGACATCAAAAACTTGAGTTTGTCAAAGATAAATTTGATCAAACATAAAACCAATGGCAAATAAACCTTCTGATAAAGGAAATTGTTTCAGAACATAATTATAATATTTAGATCTTAGATTACTACCTTCGGCTGTGCAATTCCAAGGCTCTCAAATAGTTCTGGATGTTTGATTGGCAGCTCAATGACCTACAAAAAAGAAAAGGATTTTGTGAGCTTCAAACCAACTTGATGTAAGGTAACAATAAGGAGCAAGCTTACTTAAGTCCAGTAACAGGCCCCCATGCTAAGAAAGTTAATCGCCAACTAACTCAACCTCAATCAATAGAACAAAACAATGCAATTTGATTTCAGAGCGCATCAAAATTTTGGCAACTTACTAACCTCTTTTATTTCTTTGATTTGTTGGTCAAGGCCACCAATCATGTCATAAGTAGAATCAGGAACCTTTTCAACTTTCATAAGGTTAACCAGAGGGTCCACTTTGCTGGGCAAAATTAAATGAAGAACATAGCTATCATTACGAAGAGCGACTCTGGTGGACGGTGTAATTTTTGTTATATCAATGTTCTTATCAATATCTACAACATATTTCCCCTCGGGGTGCACCTGAAAAACAAAATCAACAACATAAGAAACAGAATACTAGCAAAACTACACAAACCACAAGGAATGATTGGACAAGAACTTGACTTAATAGAGGCAAGAAGCAAAAAATGTGTAAGAAAATCATAACTCCGGCTTTGAACATTATTAGTTGCAATGTTCAAAAAGGTGGAGTGGCTACTCAAAACTTTTTAGGCAGCATGTTTAACACTGAAACTTCACAAACACACATCAAACACGCATGTCAACCCTTCTATGAAGTGAGTTGCGCCCTAAACTTGAAAACCTTAAACACACATGGTTAAATCTTGAAAGCACATAATTAAAATTGCTTTATGTATAAGGGAGAAGGAATATAGAATGGGTCTATTGCAGACAGACTTTGAGGGGAAACTCTGAGACATGCCAAGGTTGGTGATGAGCAAGGAAGAAAAGATCCAAACCCACATGTTTGATTTCGGCATCGAAGTATTTGCGTGGCATGGAAAGAAACAAACAAGAAAAAATACACCTGGTATACACAACATTTACAGTTTACTAACCGAACAAAATTTTCTGCATCTCAATGACAGAAGTAAAAGACATGCATTTAAAGGGACATTTAACGGCAAGGACAAAAAGAATTTCAATTTTGCGCATGGTTTGTTAAAAACAGGAAGTTATCAAATGACTCCTGCTGCTTTTCTGTGTTTACAAGAGGATAGAAAGGTTCAAACCAGTGTTTGAAAAATCGCCGATCCGACCCGGAATCGGGTGATCCAGATCAGATCTCGGTGACACCGTTTTATTAATGATCCGGATGGTTCAGGCCGTTCTACTTTTTTTATTAAAAAATTCCAATGCTGACCACCTACCTAATGATCCTGACGTCACTATCAGTCCTTGTCTTTTATGCCCAGGAAACACGCGGGCCGTTGTCTTTTATGTCAGGGAAAACACATGGGCGGCATTATGCCCTGCCCTTCACCCCATAATACCACTGTTGTTACGTGAGAAGAGAGCAACTTTTATATGTTAAGCTGCTCCCACATCTTTTCGATATGGGACAAATGTTTTTGTCAATTGTCTCTTCGCCGGCTGGTGTTAATAAAGTCTTTTACTAAAATTAAAATTAAAATTCAGCTCTTTTGATATAAAAAACAACTCATGCATTAGATAGTAGGCATTAGGCTATTGGTTACTAAGGGATTAAAAAGAAAAAAATAATACTAGCTTATAGGATATTAGAACAACAAAAAATAATATTAATACTAGTTTATTGATCATTAAAAAAATTACTAGTTTATGGGATATGTTAAGAGAAAAAAATAACACTAGCCCAAACCACTTTAAAATCCATTTTAAAGTTGCATTGTCAATTATCCCACATTGCAAGTATGATATTTATTTATTTGTCTAATTTTATTATAATGTAATTACAAATTTAAGCTTCTAAATTTTGTACTTTGTATATTTATTTATTTGTAAGGGTCGCACCTTTGTTTTTTGAATCATGTTTATTACAATATCATAATTAATAATTATACATTGATAACCAAATCTTGTATTTTATTTGTTTATTTATTTACATTATAAATTATATAATGTATTATTTTTATTATAGCTGTAAATAAATTTTTAAAAAAATTAGATGACATATTATGACAAATTTTAAATTTATTCTTATTTGTATGGTAAATTATTTTTAATAATATATTATAATTAATATCATACAGACATCTAGACAAAGAAACAATGTCTCAATATTCACATATTTTTGCAAATAATGAAACTACATAATCCACCACTCCTAATTTCTTTTAGAAATGGGGGGTCTAAGGGTGATTAAATGTTCGGGGCGGGGGTGGGGAGGGGTGGGGTGCGGGGGTCTAAGAGTGATTAAATTTTGAGGTAAATATAAGGGTGATTAAATAGTGTGGGTAGAAGAATAAATTTTGAGATAAATAATGAAATATAGTAAATTTGTAAAAATAAATTTTTTTTTAAGGTAAATAACAATAATTCATACAAGCACAAATTTATTTATTTACTTTTTATTTTCATTAAAACATGATTACAACTTCATATTTTGCACTATAAGAAAACTATCTTTATATTTATTAACTTATTTATATTCAATGTATATTATTATAGTTAGTTAGGTTGTGATAATCTCAGACAAGTAAAGAAAATTATAAATATTTCATGTGATATTAATTCACTTTATATGGAAAATTATTTTTTAATCTTATAATATAGAAGTGTTTTCTAATATTTTAAATTATTTTGATGCAGTGGTTAACAATAGTTCATACAGGGAAAAAACATCTCAATATTCGCATATTAATGCCAAAAAATGAAAGTGATTAATGTAGTACTCCCATTTCTTATTGGATTCCTAAAAAGCAACATTTCTAATGATTTTTAATATTTTTTTTTTTTTTTTAAGGTCGAATCCGACCGATTCAGCCGATTCCCGATCCAAAATGCCGATTCACCGATCCGGAAGGGTTTTTGAGATGCTAGATCCGGCGCACCGATCTGTTTTTTAAACTACTGGTTCAAACCTTCATAGATATCGATGGATTTGTGAGAGATCCAATGCATTGAACGAGGAAGTTAGAACCCCATAATGAGTGATGCTGAAAAGGAGGGCATGGTCCATAGGGTCTGACTTCACTTGGAAACAAGGAGAACAAAAAAGTGTAGGAAGGATAAGAGCAAGAATGAATTCCAATGAGTAGTGAGGAATGCTCAAGGGTGGAAGGGAGAAACAAAAAGTAACGAGCATGAGACAACATGGGGTTATAACAATGTTTTAAAAATTTGTCCGCCTCACGCCTAGGCGGCCTGGACAAAAAATCCGTACGCCTAGACCCAAGCGACCCTACATAGGCGGGATGTGCGGGCTAGGTGGACGCCCAGGTCGTAAGGCCTTTTTCGTGTTTTTAAACCACCCAAAAGGGCCAAAGGGGTCTTTTGACCCTAAAAAATGTTATGGGGTTTATTTTTAAACCAAGAAAAAACCTCAATATATGAAACCCCCACAGTGAAAACTACAGGGCGCCTGAAGTTCTGGGCGCCCGCCTAGGCATTGGGCAATGGGCGCCAGGCAAGCCGCCTAGCGTTTTTTGAAACCTTGGGTTATAACAACTAACAGGGTCTTGGGGAAGCTTGATTTGAGCTATAACTAGCAAAAAGAGGTGAAAACAAAGGAAACTTAGTACTCGACCAGAGATGAGAGAAGTCTATAATGTCCAAATCTAAATAAATAATGTTACATAAAAGAGTCATCAGGGGAAGCCTAAAACAAAGGGTGTTGCAGGAAAAGTGACTTCTAGAAGTGGCATGAGAGAAGAAGGGAAGATGCAAAATGGGTCAATTTTAGATGGTTAGGAAAAAGAAAAGGGCTTGAAGAAACACAAAAGACATGGGTTGCGGTTCTTTGATGATCCCTGCTCAAGTCATTATTGTGATTAGGGCTTTGTGCAAAACATTCCAATAGGGTTCACGTTCATGCGTACAAAACATGCACGTGTATGTGTCCTTTCAGCGGTGTGTGTTTGTTCAGCTGTCTCTTATAACCATGTATTTCCTATGCCTCTGTTTCTCTTTCTTAATCACATTACATCACAGCAACCCCCTTTTTCCTTTTTAGTGGAAATGACACAGACACAAAAAGGTTCCCTTCACAAAATAAATGTCAGGTTGAATTCATTGATAAATCCTGATTGCTTGATATTTGCCTGAAACCCCCAAAATGGGTGTGTTCATTAGAAAGGAAGGCATTCAATTCAATGACAAAATCACAAATTTTTCACCACTGCGAGTTAGGGCAAAGTATCAATATAAATAGGGGCCAGCAACTGCCTTCCAATGAGAAGCCATAATCAGATTTAGAAAGGGCGACTAAAAGGCAGCCCTAGTCAGTCCATAATGACAAAAGAAGATTGCATCTAGTATTGAGGAAACAAGTTAAAGTTGTTCCAAATTTCAAATAAATTAACGATCTAGAACTAGAAACCCATGGAAACCTAATGGCAGCTGCATACTTTCATGCACGATAATCCAATGACTTTTATCAATTATATCGACAATAAATTGTTCAGTCATGGAAATCTAAATTACTCTAACAAACACTTTCCATTACCATAATTATCTCCAATATCTGAGCTAAGTGAAACAAACAGAGAAAGAAAATCAAATCAAAACAACGGAGAAGAAAGACATAATACTTGAAAAAATACATACCTTAACCAGAACTTTGGACTTCCCCATGACCTTCACCACTTCACCAACATATGAGCCTGGCTCTTGCAACAGCTGCAACTCCTCTCTAAGCATCCGAACTACTCAAATCAAACAAGAAAACAAAAACTCAAACCAAAACCAATGAACAAATTTCCACATCCGATAGGGAGAGCAAGATATAGAGCGAGAGAGACGAAGGTAAAACTAAGGTTTATTATCATGAAGGAAACTTCCCGAGAAGGAGAAAGAGAGAGAGACCTCTGGAGTTGAGATCATTGCGTTGGGCTTCAAGACGATTGAGATTGTGGGTCTTCTGGCGCACCTGCAATTGTAGATCATGGATGTGCTGCAAGTAGTACTGCCTAAGCCCCTCTCCTTGCTTCACCATTTTTTCACAGATTCAGAGCTCTCTCTCTCTCTCCTATCTCTCTCTCTCTCTTTGAGGTTTGTTCTGAACTTCCCCCAGTTTTGCACTGTATTCGAAAGCCCTACTTATAAAGGGGTATTTTGGGTATTTCGTTTACTTACAAAACAAGAAATTGAAAAACTACTATTCCCACCCGGAATATGGGTGGAAAAACTCAATTGCTCACCCATGTTATTTACGGGGATGTTTCATATGATCCATATGAAACCCCATTAGTTCATCACCGTCGCATCTTAGGTTGAAAGGTGTTGGAGGAAGCATGTCCCACGGTACGGTCTCCTTGATTGAGATGCAAAGGTCACTGCACCCACCCAACCCATATAAATAAGGGATTGTATGCAATGCGACCATTTATTTTTATTACATAGAGATCACAATCACTTTTTATTAGATGTTGAATTGGAAAGCTTGTGCTAGTCAAGAAGTTCGAAAAAAAAAAATTTAACTTTAGGTCTTTTGAATGACACTCTTTAAACTATCCAATTTGAAATCTAAAGGATAAGAGTATCCGTCAGCTCTTTGTATAAAAAGTAAATGGTCTCTTTGTATAACCCGGTTTCTATACGGCTATACCCGCATACGTAGAAATGCGGGCTTCTTAATAAATCTATTTTTGAAATGGATTTTAAGACCAAGTTTTTAAGGACATATTAATCTCTAATATGGAGATCATGAATATGAATAAATAAATAAAGTTTAATAACTAAATAATAATTTTAGTAAGAAAACATGTGGATAGTTAGACTTGCATCCATCTTTAAGATGGATGCTTTATACTTTCTGGACCGCATATGTAGAAATGTAGTCCAACCCACATAAAACAATTTTCCATCTTTTACTATAAATTATATGTGATCACACTTCTCAACTGTTTGACCTGAAAGGATGGCTAGGATTATGATTGTTCTTCCACAATGTCATGTCAAAATACTACTTGATTTTAAATTTTTTCTACAAACTATTTTTTAACAAAATTTGTAGAGCATTATCTTCTTATTGGGCCACATCTAACAAAATAAATAAATAAGGGAAAATATCTCCATAGTCTTCATTTTCAATCATCATTGCTTCTTAAATCCAAAATTTCAAAACCTATCTTCTAACCCCCCCCCCCTAAATAACTTTATCTATTTTTATTCTAACTTTGAACCCAAACAAATTAAAAATAACATATTTTCTAAATCTCTCTCTCCTCACGTGTTTCAATCTCTCTCCTCATGTTAAACAATGCTCATGGCAAGCTAGGGCCTGAGGTATGTCCCTTGATGTGAGAGAAAGTGCCATGGAGGAGTGAGAAATGGGCCTTCTCTCTTATAGCAAGCATCCCTGGTTTCGAAGACTATGTCTCTGCGAAAGCAGTGTTCCAGCACTATGAAGGCTTGACAACTTGCGCTCGAAGGCCATTAAAGGCAATGGAGCTTGGTATTGGGCTCATCTTGGTTCAAAACCAGGACACTGGTGTGCCCAAAGCTATAAAGCTTTGATGCTCTCTCTAAAACTCTCTCTAAAACTCTCTCCAACCCTTTGAGAATAGCTTTCGAGCACCTAAAACGATAAACTTACCCCAATTTCATTGTAAATCTCCCAAAACCTCTCTCTATCTTTCCCACCATTCGCCTCATCTCACCATCTTCTCTTTCTGCCCCAACTGCTACCTCTTCTCACCACTCTAGAAAGAGAAACCCCGGTCACTACTATCAACATTCTCAACCCTAACCTCTCGCCATGGTCGAATTCTCTCAATTTTGTGAGGTGGTTTACCCCACCCCTCTGATGCTATCTGGTGGAAAAGAGGTTCCAGCTGTCGTCGCAAAAACAGCCTTGACAACCGCCCCCTTTTGGCGGGAATCTACCCCCGGTGGTGGTTGAGAAGGGGTTGAAGTATCCAGAAAAGCTGGTGAAGGCAATGGAGGAGGCGGAGGACGAGAGGGAGGGGTTGGGCCATCAATGACAGGCGTAGAACTAAAGGGGAAGAAGGCCTCGAGGTTTTGGGCGGTGGAAGAGGAGGGGTGGGGAGTGGAGGAGATGAGGGTACATAGCACCCAACTCGGGAGGAGAGAGAAAGGTAGTTAGAGATAGGTGGCGAGAGAGAGAGAAAGAGTTTAGAGAGAGTGAGTGACTAAGTGTAGAGAGAGATAGGGAGAGACTTGATTTTAGAGAGAGAGATAGAGGGAGAGGTTGAGTTGAGAGAGAGAGGAGTTTGGAAGGTTGATCGGGGGAAGAGAGGGAATCACATCAAGAGAGAGAGAGGTTTAGAAAATAATGTCTTTTCTAAATTTGTTTGAGTCAAAAAATTAATAATAAATAAATAAAATATGATCAGGGGGTTATGAGATATAATAGAGTGAATTTCTATATAGTAAGATAGGTTTTACAACCTCAAGTCAATGGAGAAATAAAAGTTGAAAATGGGGTCTATAAAAATAGTTTTCCAATAAATAACATGTCCTTAAAACGATCACTATTGCAATGACTTCCAATCAAATCAAGATTTTTCTACCATTCTTCCAACATTTGTCCATGAACTATATCAACAATCAAGTTACAATAAGAATTTCCACAATAGTTGAAACCCTATCCATTATCAAAATATAATACTTACCTAATGAATTTTCTTTTTCTCTTTTGGGTAAATCAATAGGGATGATAGGCTCCCTACCCATTTTATTTTTATTAATGGACACAAGAGAAACTAATGAATTGGCATTGGTAGAAAGGAATTAAAATATTCATGAGAATAAGTTAACAACATGTCATCAATTGCACACCTGAGGTTGATAAGACTGCGAGTTTCAATATGTTGGGAAATATCATCCTTGCCGAACCGAATGCCTACATAGCATTTGTAGGCAAAAGATGAAATTGAAAAAAAATGATTTTAATACTTGGTCAAGTCAGTAGGTATTCTATTTTTTTGGACCATGACTCAATAATGAATAAGTTTGTCTTGTGTTTAGTAAAAGACTCTATTAGCTTCCTCCAAATGAAATTCAATAGGATCCCTAGATACCATATCTTCATCCATAGGATGCTTTGGATGCCAAGTGCCTGGATCATAGGGGATTCACAAAAAAAAAAAAGAGGAGCAGCGAAGCGGAATTGTTGCCCTCAACACTACCGCTTCTCAGTAAGATGAGGGAATCGAATTTGAAAAAAAGGATATGCCAAGAGTGGGATTAGTTGTGCCTGCTGGTTTTCCGCCTTTGCATTAGTTACCTGAGCCAATGTCCATGTGCGTGCCATATGCATCTCATGATCCCTGGTGGCATTGTACGATATCTTTATCCTGGGAACAACTTTTTTTTCTTCCTGTGTTTGGCTTAAGAAACAAAAGCAGATATTATAAATAGAAAAAGTTTATGCAAGGTTGCAATGTTATATTGTCGGTGTAAGTTGCACCTAAAAAATCCTATAGAAGATAGCATTTTGATGTTGTATCCCTCAAAATGAGTGGATATGAAGAAGAAAAAGAATTTTAAGTCCTAAATATAGTGCATCTTGTCCCAAGTTATTTAGACTGTCTGTTTTCAAGCTTTCAAGTGTTCATATGCTTGATGCATACCATTTTTAAATTTTTAAATTTTCTACCTATAAAAAAACTTGGGTATAGTCATAATGCCATAAACAAAATCTAATATGTCAAGTTAAATAATAACAAGATAAATATTTGAAGGTAAATTTGAATGATAAAATTCAAATAACAAGAAAATACATATTGTACTTTGGTAGATTAAATATTTTTATACTTTCATTTTTTATCTCTCAATTAGAACTACATGCCATTAGCTAATTATATGCTATTTTGGTATCATTTTATTTTGAATTGACTCAAATTTTTTTGGTAATAAAGTGCTATGAATCTTATCTATTCTATCTACATACATTGAGCCATAGTAAAATGGTGGTGCACTTGTCACCACATCTCTCTCTCACTCTCTCTCATCCATTTAGTCTATGTGTTATGTATTACTACTAGATCTCATTCGCCTCTTAAATACCTCACAAATCGTAGAGGGGGAGATATATCCTATTCTCCAATATTTTTTGGGGGATTATGGTGGGTTTTAATTGACTCTCTTATATGTGGAAACCCTAGAGATTTTTGCCAAGATCATGTACTTAACTGGCTAGAAAATAAATCACCAATTACTAACCACAATATGAGCATTATAAATTAAATATAAAAAAAACACACTATAAGGGAACACAAATATTTATGTGGTTCACCCCTAAAGAGTGGCATCCATGGGCATTAGCGGATTGAAATCATTGCCTGTAGGAGACACCACAACAATGTCCACTGTAGGAAGTTGACTTCTCTCTTTCTAGAAACCTTGCCTCTCTATACTATGCGTCCCTTTAAACAAACATACATTTCCCAGAATTCGAATCCCAACGAGGTTGAACACATTCGATTTATTATACTATACTATTATATATATATACTA